TTTTGATATTGTTGTTGCAGCCATCATTGTTGTTTGGCGGGCAAGGCTGGATTCGAACCCACCACCTTAGGTGTATGTCCCTGGTGCCTTAGCCATTTGAGCCACAGGCGCCAAGCCTGCCTTTTAACTTTGTGTAATGTTTTCTCAACCTATCTTGACCTCTTCACATAGGCTTATCTAGTTTTTTTCAAGAGCTGCGTCTATTTTAAACGCGGATGTACCCAGGTTTATTTTTCATTCCCTCTACAGATGAACCACTAGAGGGTTCCAATTTTTCGTTATTCCTCCACCACAACTCCCTACCAAGGCTGGGTCCCGAGCTTTTATGTGCAAGTGCCCACGGGGTAGTGTCTTAAAAATGGAAGATCTGGGAGTACTCCCCGCCACCTTCATTTCGTAAGCTCCGTGGAATCACTACGATACGTAGAGAGACAAAGTATTCCCGGGGCAACAACCGGCCAGCCAGGACAGATTCCTGCTTAGCCCCTGACACTTCCTTTCGTAATAGACGCTGAACTTATTTTTTACCTTATAGATGCAACAGATCTCAGAACCAACTCCTCGGCACCAAGCCCTACACCGAATTAAAAAAAAAACCCTCCAGCCCCATCAGGTCCTGACGCTTGCTTCCGGAAGCAGACCGGAAGCCGCTCCTCCTTTCTGCGTCAAACCCAACCTCAGGGGCCGTCGTAAAAGTGTCGTCCCTCGTCTCGGACCGGCCACAGGTTTCTGCTCGCCTCCGGCCGGGGGTCGGGAACTGCGGGCGTCAGTTTCCCTCAAGATGGCGGACGAGGAGGCAGGGGGTGCGGAGAGGATGGAAGTCAGTACCGAGTTTCCCCAGACCCCGCAGCGCCTGGCGTCTGTAAGTCCCTGTAGGCAAGTTCCTTTTGTCCTCCCCCCAGTCCCTCCCTACCTAGCTCAGGAGGATGTTGGGCTTTACCCTTATGGCGGCTCTGGGGAGAGGGAGTCACCAAATGAAAAGTTGGTTGTATCCCACGTTTCCGTAAGCCAAGTCTGTTGAATCTGATGTTTTTGTCATGTATTAGCTTTGACGAGCTCAAGCATGCATGTCTCTATCCTGAAGTGGAAAGAACCAGTGATGTTAGTAGGTGGTTCGGTGTGGGGTTGAGGAGAGATTGGAGAAGAGCCATTTTCCAGTAGACGAATTGCTAAACCCTCTTGATGATAGGTATTCTGGAAGCAGCACCTGCTATTGTATTGCACACTTGGCAGGGTGAGACGTGATAGTGGTAGGGAATGTTGCCACTGTCGAGTCTTGTCAAGATGTGGGGTATAGGAATTATCCCTCCATATAGCATCTTGAGAACCCCAGGCATAATCCTCACTGGAGCAACCCGTTGTCACCTGCCGCTGCCTTTTAAAGGTAAAGAAGGCACGTCTAGAAATTTCAAGTCAGAGCAGTACCATTAATTAATACTGGAAACTGTACTCTTTTGCATTTTGAAAAAATGGCAGGGCAGGGATAGCAAATTTGAGCACTAGTCTAGATACAGGGAGAAAGCTGGAGCAAGAGGGATGGGGGCAGTGTTAGAGGAATGTTCTGGAAGTCCCTAGGCATCTAGTGCGGAGATAAATAGGAAATACTCAAATACCTATTACTGTCAGCTTGTCTTTATAGCTGCATGTAGAAAAGTATGGGATATGCATCTCTTTCTGAAGTTTTTTTGGTTTGTAATTTTAATAAATGCACTTTGAAGTATTTTAACCTTGCAGACACTTGAGCATTGCTTTGAGAGAGAAGAGACTGAGCTACAGAATGAGTCAACTCGGGACTGGAGAGACTGACTAGGAGATAGAAACCAGCTAGAGAGATAGTTGGAATAAGGGTTTTGCCACTGTGTCAGTAAATGCAATCTTCCTTCATCCTAAAGTTAGCAGTTCAAACTCTTCACTGCTAATAGTGAAGGAGGAAACATCTGTTTGAGATGATAAGGAATGAGATGATAGGACCAGTTTGAAACAGCTGAAACATCTTCTCTTAATGGTAACTTGTATGTTTTACATTTTATTTTTTTATTTTTATTTTTATTTTTTTGAGACAGAGCCTCAAGCTGTCCCCCTGGGCAGAGTGCCAGTGGCATCACGCTCACAGCAACCTCCAACTCCTGGGCTCAAGCGAGTCTCCTGCCTCAGCCTCCCAAGTAGCTGGGACTACAGGCGCCCGCCACAA